AAAGGATGGCACTTACTTGATGTGTGGGCTGAAGGCAGAGGTGATGTTGGTTCACATCCTCGGAGAACGAGACTTCTGACCTCATCCTTCAGTTCTGACACAGTTGATCTGGTGTAAGTGATTTACAGTAACATATGTAATACAAGACAAGAAAAAAAAAAACTAGATACACACAGACTATACATGGTTACACATATACCTGATCTGGCGAACCTCTTGCTGTGTGTGGGAATACTGTAAGACTGTCTTTGTCAGATCAGTGTTGTGAATTCTGTAGCTGTCTGTCAGCTCCTCCAGAGTCTGAATAAATCACACAGAGAAAGATTAAGCATCTGAAAGAATCAAAACCACAAACCCACAAGAAAACACTGGCTGTGAGTTACAATGTGTACCTTGCAGCTGTGTTCGTACAGTCTCCTGGTCTCCCTGGCCTGTGCCTGCTGGAGAAACATGTCCTCCTCCTGCCTCCCTGTCAAGGGTAAAAGAAAGAGCAGATGTTCCAAGCAAGATGGTTCTTGCTTTTCCTTTGTAGACCAACAGTGGAAAAGGACATGTGCAGTCTCGCTGAATGAATGCAAGGAATGTGTGTGTGTGTGTGTGTGTGTGAGACTCACTTAGCCGTGTTTTTAGCTGGTCCAATTCTCTGCGCAGCTGTTCCAGCTCCTCTCGGCGGAGCTTTGAGGTAAAACTGGGAAAAAGAGAAAGTAAATGACACTCACACAACTCTGTAATAGCCATCTCTTATTAAGAGATGTAAACATTTTAATGTCAATTTAGGGTTGGACCTATCATCATTTCAGTCTCCAGTCACCTCCCCCAGCTCCACCCCTAATGCACCTCTCCTCCAGGTTGCCTAGCGACGTGGCTCGGGTGATGTGTCCCCTTAGACTGTTCAGCTCACGTCCAACTTCTCTTCTCCACTGCTCCATCCTTCTCTCTGCTCCTGGGCTTTGTCCTCTCCTCGATTCCTCCCTTTGTCTATCCCTCTCTCTCAACTCCTCATGCAGCCTGTGGACCTCGTCTGGAAAAGAAGATAGATATCTAGGACCAGCTGATTTTTTTTCTACTTTACTGCTCCTTCCATTACCCTCGCGGACAAACCAGAATAATTCATCAATATCTTTAATTATGAATGAATCCATTCTGGCTGAATACACTTAGCAGTTTTCCCAGACTGTAGAGAGAAAGGGTGAATAGTGAATAGAGAAAATAGAGGCGGGCCAATAACAAATAAAGTTTGCTAGGACTCATCTCTTTCAAGCGGTGCTGTAAGTGCTGATGGCTCAAAAAATTGAGACCATATTTTCCTGTAAATCCACTTGCTTCCTGTAGCTGCAAGTGTTTAGCTATTGGCTCACTTTTTCTACATCTCTCTCGAGACAGCTAAGTGAACCTGTTAGTGTAGAGTGGAAGTGGGTCAAACTGTATTTAATGTAAACTAAAAATTTAAGCACCTCCAAGTTTTTAGGAAAAGCATATTATGCTTTTCCTAATTTCTGTCAGTTATATAATGTTACAGAAGCTGATCATCATATTAAATGTGGTCAAAATGTCAAATAATGTCACCATGTCCACAAAGTAATCTGTGTGAGTCACAATCTTAGACTTCAGCTACACCGGCTGAGTGTTGTTATTTTTTCCAATATGTACATATAGAGAATGTAAAAGAGAACTGACTACATAAACCTCTGCAGGGATGTTGCTGTGCCAGTAAGAACTGTTTGCTGCAAATCATCTGCTAGCAGTATCAAGTGCCTACTAAACCACAAAAAGGAAGCACAACCTGAGAGGCAGTTTTAACAGGTAAAGGGAAACAATAACAGGAAGCTGGAGGGGAAACTACCATGCAGCAACATCAAAGATATGTGCGGGAGAATGAACACCATGACTTGCTTCAAGAGGAAGAGTAGCCAGCCCCCAGAACATAGCATATGAGTTTAACCTGTTTTATAACTGGTTTGAACTTGGCACTCTGCCACTTCTGCCAGTCCAGCATCTCCAGCACCATCCTCACTAAGCACACTACAGCTGCAGCACCTTCTACACCAGCTTCTCCTCAGCTGTTCTTTACAGTAAATGAGGTGAAAGCAGAGTGGAGGAGGCTGCACTCTAGGAAAGCAGCTGGGGTAAGTCCCAGGCTATTTAAAGACTTTATCTCAGATGGCAGCGCCTCTGCACACTATCTTCAACCTCAGTTCAGAAGAGTTCCAACCGTCCTGTGCCAGTGCTCAAGGCAGCTGACCGTGATCAACAACTACAGACCATTTACCCCCACTTCCCATATCATGAAGACAATGCAGAGGCTACTCTTTCCCTTTCTGACACCACAAGTCCAGCATGCACTGGAGCCTTTATAGTTTGGATAACAAGGTAACACTAGACTTATTTCTTTTGGACAAGCCTGGTGGCAACATGCAGTTTCTCTTTTCTTATTTTTCTAGCGTGTTTAAAACTCTTCAACCTCAGATTTTGAGAAACAAGCTTGAGAAGGTGAGGTGGATTCTACCTTCACCTCGTGGATACATAACTAATTAATGAGCCAACCACAGTTTGTTAAACTGGATATATGAACATATCCAGTGGATATATGAACATATCCAGTGGATATATGAACATAAATGCCTTAGGGTAGGTAAAAACAATAAAATTCAAGGATTGTTTGTACTGTAATCTGAAGCTCATCACATGTAATGTCTAAAATGGATCACACAAAAACTATGTGATAACAACTAACTTAACAACTAACTTAGATTAAAATGCTACATGCTTTGGGCACATCGTTTGTGACCTGACACCTCAGTTTGGATGATGACTCTCAACACTTCTGAATCTAGTAACAGTTCATTTCTTGTAGAGATGGACTGATCTGATTTTACGTATTGGTCCGATACTGACCTAAATTACTAGATCGGATATCGAAGAGAAATAAAAAATGTAATCCGATCCATTAAATATCAAAACTCACCTCACAAAACTTGCGACATGCCGTAACTCATAACCGTAGCACGTCAGAGCAGAATGCATCACGTGATAGAGCGGCTATGGCGTGCGGGACTTGTCGGTGGTCTGGTTGAGCATTTGGAGCCTCGCTACCAAACCAGCATTTCATCTCCGAGAAAGTTATCCCAGAGCGAAGTAAAGCAAGTGTGAATCTCTGAATGTTTGTAAAGCATTCCAGCGTTAAGCTTAACAACCGATATATGGAGCGACTGCCTCTTCTCTCTCCCTCCCTCTCCTGCTGGTACTTCAATCGTGAAACTGATTAATGATCAGCTGATCGGCTTTTCTGTCGCGAGTCCGTCTCTCTTGTTTGTTTTTGGCCCACTTTGCACCAGAAAGAGGAAACCAGCGGCTGAACAACAGCAGCACGTTTAAGCTTGATAAGCTGTTGTTAGAATTTATTTAATATTACTTTCTACACCAGGATCCTTTTCTACGTAGCTGATGGCTGGTAAATGTGCAGGGGCGGATCTAGCAAAGTTTAGACATATCGGTATCGGCCGATATCCAAATTTATGATATCGGTATCGGTATTGGACATAAAAAAGTGGTATTGTGCCATCTCTAATTTCTTGTAGTTGACAAAGTGGAGTGAGATGTGTTTATGAGAAAAGTAATATGACACAGTAACGGTTACCTTGAAGCACCTGAATGTGACATTGCTGAGAGTGCTTCTCCCTTTCCAAATCATGGAGCCTCTGGGTGAGGGAATCAATCGCCTTTGAAAGATTTTGGGAAGAGAAAATGAGTCACTGCTCAAATCAAACAATCTGTTAAATACCATAAATATATTGCTATTTAGTTCTCAGTGTTAAACAAATAAACACACCTGGCTCTGTATCTGGAGCTGTGACTGGACAGAAGCCAAGTCTGCCCACTGCACACCAGGACTGAAAGTTGAGGAAGTCTGTCGGAGAAGTGGTGCTCGAGGAGGAAGAGCAGGGGGATCTGAATCTGAATCACAACCTCTCTCACGCACTGGAAACAAATCTGAAAAGGAAGAGTGGAAATCACTTAGATGGTTCAAACAACTGTTGCGCCTACAGTATTTAGTTAACTCTGAAAGAAAGGAAGTCAACTTAACATAAACAATGACAAGTTAAGGGTAATTTCCCCTTCTAGTCATATTGAGAAATTTAAAATGCTACGCTCACCTTCGCCTCCTTTGAAGAATTTCCCCGTTGGCGTCAACCTCTCCTGTTAGAGACAGAAGTTGTTTATTTTTTACATTCAAAGGGTACTTCCCAAAGTCTTCTATCTACACTGTCTTAATTTAAAATCACTTTAATAGAGCACTGCTGCCATCTACAGATCATTATGGGAACTGATCACAAGGGATCAGAGAAGGTTCTCCTGTGGTCAACGCCAGAGCTTATCAAACAACAGGGTGCAGACAAGCATGTGAAATATATAAAATAAAATGCCGTTTTTAACAAGTTTTGCAGATGCTACTGTGCTTTGATATGCACCTTTATTTATGTAAATATCAACACCGAGCCTTTTTTTATTGTCAGCGATTGATGAACGTTGTGTGATGTGAACTTTGTTTTGGCTTTACAGAAGTACTGTTCAGAGTGATGCAGAAAAAAACCTACCTCAGTATGAATCAACACGTACAAACAGAAGTATTTAAATGTACTCACCCTCATCTTTGCAACACTGCCATCTGCTACAGACAGAATAGAGCTCAGCTGATTGTCCCAGTTCATGTCTCATTTGAACTAGAAAGGGAATTCAAAAAGGGAAGTTGTCAAATTCAAATATTCATTATTATTGTCGCTTAACTGATAATTGATCCACGAGGAGCATCATCTGACACGAAGCTTTCTGCCCTGACATAGGTTAAAGCTACATCAAAAACCACTAGACCACAATGACACAACCTTAGACACGTGTTATTCCTGGTAGGCGAGGTATCAGCTGAGTTAAGAGCTTACACTTTGAAGGAGATTAAATTACAGCAGCCCTGTGCATTTGCACGTTTTTAGTTACAGCGATCAGCTGCTTCACAGGAAAATGTAACATGGGATGTCACGATATGACAGCGTATTAGCTCATTTTCAGATTAAAAAGAGAGCAAGAGTTTTCCAAACAGGCCTGTTGGGAATGACTACAAATGTAAACACAACTGGTTCACATGCAGTTAAAATAAAAAGTCTTATTACCTGACTTAGCTGAAGTTTGTGCATTTTCCTAATATTTCTGGCTACTTTATAGATTTAAAAAAAATTCTAAGGGGATGATCATCAACATCAAAAAGGCCAGATGAGTGGATTTGGGCATCTGACAAGGATGCCTCCTAACTGAGGTGTTAGGTCATGTTCACCAGGAGGAGGCCCCAGCACACAAACACTCTGGTGTCCCCCTATACATGCCGGATGCGGTGGGCAGAGAGAGGGGTTTGAGCTTCTCTTCGAATCCTGTCAATGGGACTCAGACCCAGAAAAGTGGCAGAAAATGGATGGATGGATGGATGGATGGATGGAGAGACAAATAAAAAAAATTTAATTACATTTTCCTAGCTAATTATTGTTAATAATTCATGAGAAAGAAAATGGATATTCTCTCATAGTAAAGCAGTAGATATGAGAATATTTCCTCAATTCTCTAAAGTATAAGTCACTTTCATTTCTGGAAAAACACGAAAAACGTGCAATTATCTTTTTTTGTTGTTTTTCAGTCCATGAATCACAAGTCCGACACATTCAATTAACCTTTCTGCACCTGGGACCATAGGTGATCAGGAGATGCCACAAATGTCCTTATGACAAAATCATGAATCCGGGATTCAATTTCAGGTATTTCATTACTGCTACAGTGCTAATTATAATTACAGGGGTTGCACACAGGTTAATCAACGTCCCCCCCCCCTATATTATGTTTCGCCCACGCCACGGTTTGTAGGTCGATAAAGTAATGGGCCTATTAAACTGATCTGCAGGTCCGCTAGGAACTATAGAGCATATCGCTGTCCGGCTGCTAGGTACAGAAGCTTGAAAGAGAAGCTCTGGGCAGAGCAAGCATTTCCTAACATAGACAAAATGCACAGCACACAAACATGTTGAGACACATCAACTGGTAAAGGCCAAGTTTTACAGTTAATACCGCTAACGTTAGACGTTAGCCGTGATTTGCGACATTTTTTTTCTCTCGGGTTTTTATTTGTGTAGCCAGGAAAAAAATTTTTGACTCTAAAACAGTAAATAGAGTTAACTTTATTGTTTCTAATGCTGTCTCTTAAACATTATTAAGAAAATAAGCATATTTTCCTACCGCTAATCGAGATACTCACAGAAAACCTTCCGACTCCACTTTTAAATCCAGGAGCCCATAACAATAACGTGATTGCGTATGACGTAAAGCACATGCCTTCTGGGTTTTGTAGTCAAAAGGTCCGTAATTATTTTTAGCCTCAAAATTACAGAGATATCCTCGATGTACACTCACTTAGTAAAATACACTGTATCCTAAACGCATTCTAGTTAGCAAAAAACAAACAAACAAACAAAAAATTGTTCAAATATACCCCGAAGCTAAGATTTTTCATCGAGGACGTTGATTGGCCAAAGAACACCATGTCCCACAATGCAAAGCTCAATGTTGACACGCAACAATGGCGGCTTCCAATGTAAGCGTGGAAAGTGTAAGACGACTGTTAAACGACAGTTTAACAAATCTGGGATTTGAAGTTTACCCGTTAAAGGTATAATGAATTGTATGGTTTTATATTGAAAAGTATGAAAAAATCATTCTGATCGCAGAACTATTTCTTTTATATATCCTAGTTAAATCTTTACGTTTAAATATTAATTGTTAAACATACTACAACAAGTAAATATAATGATAGATGGTTGAATACTGCATGTTTACTGACGTATTACTGGTTCTTGCCTTTAAGGGAATGTGCGTGGATCATTCTTTTCTGTTCTTTTATCTCTTCCGCGGAATTGAAATTTTCAGCCAAATCAGATGATTTGGTTCTTACTCCCTAACATGTCCCTCTGTTTGCAGATTGGCTGGTACAACTCTGTGCTACCTCCCACCCTGCACCTGTCGTATCCAGATGACACCCTGGCTGTGGTGGTGCTCAGCACTCCCTCCATGTTTGAAGAGGCCTTTCTGCCTTTCCTCGAGCAGAGGTGCTACCAGGGGCTTAATGACCCCATAGACCAGTGTGTTAGACAATGCATTACCTCTGCTGTCTCTCAGGTGAGGATGGAGGAGTGGTGACCAGGGTTATTTTAGTTAAATTAATTAAAAAGTAAAACTAAATTTGAAAAATGTAGTAATAATAATAATGATAATAATAGTAATAATAATAACAACAACATATACAAATATACAGGAAATATTTCTAGTTTTAGTCATTTTTTTTATTAATGAGAAGCCAACATGAGAAGCCACTGAGGTCTGTACTACAATGCAGGATCTTGGCTTATCCAGGTAATTTTAGGGTTAACTCTTACCAGGGTAAATGGTAACATATACCATAGGCCTAACTCCTTTGAAGCCGATTATGTTTCAAATTAGAGATCAACAGGAGTAAAATTACCACCTACTGATCAATCAGTTGACTGGAAAATAGCACTTCTGGAAGATCCCTCAGGCTGTTGGCGGGTCTGAAGCTTTTCAGTAGCGTCTACACTCATACCACTGATTTGTATGCAGCTGCCAGCACACTTATCCATGTCTGTGATTTGTCAGATGCTGGCAGTACCACTCCTTTCATGTGAACATGCTCGTAGCTGGATTGATAAACCCTGAGTTAATTTTTGAGTTCGTGTGACCGCTCAGTCTGATTGCCGCTGTTAGGTTAAGTGGGTCCAGACAACAGAAAGATACCCTGGGTATGCTGAACTTTCTTTGTAGTGTAGAGCTCAGATGCACATGTGTATTAAAAACAGGACGTCTATGTTTGCGTAGTTGTGTTCCAAACTCATACTGTTTTTAAATCTTTCTCCTTCCCCCTGAAAAATGCCACTCATTTCTGAATAAAGGAAAACCTAAAAGTAGCACTGAAACTGATCAAAAATTAAACTAAAACTAAAGCAAATACACTAAAAATGGTTAAAAATACTTGGCTATAATAATGGTGGTAGTGATTGCAAAAATCAGTTTCAGTGGTTCACTTCATTTAATTTCAATCTGTGGTTCATTCACTGTTAGTGACCTAATTATAATTCTTCTCAAATGCCTGCATTCTTTCATCAGTATTCATTTTCACTATGACTGACTTTTTCCAGCATCCTAAGGCCTGTATTACATAGTGAGTTCAACTTACAGTATACCTCAATGGGTATTTCCACTGGGAAATACAAAGGCTTTAAATGCTATTGAAAAACTTTAGACCCTCCTACTCCCCATACACAGAAGTCTCAGGTGTCTTCCAAGTATTGTAATGCTATTTTCCTGAGATCTGATTGGTCAGTAGGCGGTGATTTTATACCTATTGATTTTGATTTTAATCTGGGGTTAACCCTAAAGTTACCTGGCTAGATGAAATCCTGCCTTGGAGTGCAGGTTTCTGCTGAAGGCCAGTCTTGTATAGCGCTGCTATTTTGAGACAGTATTCGAATTCTAGACACTTATTTAGCCACATGTATTCCTTCTTTTTGACATTTTTTAGCTTGGCTAATATAATTAGCTTTTCTTTAATTATCAAAGAGCCTTTGCAGAAGTGCTGGCTTCTGAAAATGGGGCTCTCCATGCAGTTATGTTATTTCCAATATTTCTAATTAACTTCACGTTGGATTAAATGAAAAAATAAAATACTCACATACTAAACGTCTAAGTTACTCCTTCATTTTTGTTGTTTCTCATTAAACTTTTCTATATGTTCAGTCTCAGTTAGTTTCCAGGCAGTCATTGAAGTCACTTAGCTTAGACTGGCTGTACTTGACATGAGAAGTCGCGTGTTTGATGAGCCCACTGGCTTATTGAACAAGGCTGTGCAGTCAGGGTAATACCTATAAATCTAAAGAGCTGCCATCCACTAAGGATGTGCCTCGTGTCACCCTGTTTCTTATCAGATTCACTGAAATTTAATAGGTTATGGTGGAAGCTTGTTTCTGCCACTGCAAAAAGGCCACCCTTGTCCTGACCTGCAGATCCTTTTTTGCCATCTATAACTCACATTTTTTTGTTATTATCACATTTTGAGTCAAGTATCTTGAAATGTCTCCTTACGAACTCGCACCTCTGAGAGAGTAACTCAAACTTGAGAAAAATAACTCATTACTTCAAATAATTTTGAAATAATAACCCAAAATGTTCACATACTTCTGGTGACTTATGGATGAAAAAAAACAACTTTTTTTCAGCGCTGACTCAAGCTTCCACACTATGATCTGTCTCTGCACCGTGTTTACTAAAAACTGATGTGACTTTTTTTGTTTTGTTTTGCACGACTGAACAACGCTGATTTATTAGACCACCTGTCTTAAAAACAAGAAAACAAAATATTTTAGAAACCTCTCAAAAACTTGTTTAAATTAAAAATTGCATTGTTATTTATTAGACAAATAACAAACTCAAAGTCAGAAATGAATCATAACGTTAATGGTAACATTCAGTGACCAAAACGTAATTTTTGATTTTATTCAAAATAACCACAATTTAGCATCTTAATCAAAAATGTATAACAAGAATAGTTATATTTTAGAATTGAAAATATAATTTTGATTAAGGCGCTTGTGCATACTGGTATATCAACTGTTATGGAAATATAAAAAAAAATATTTTGTAATAACCAGTGCTGCTAATTTGGGGAACTTGTGGCATAAACCTTACATTGCGTGAGTGAGCTTACAGTTTGTGTGTGCATACAGTTTAAACACAGTGTAAAGGTTACTGGAAGCCTATAGCACATGAAACTTTATGGGAAAGCCTCTGACAGTCTCACAGCATCATCATGCTGGCTAACTCTATTTAGATTGCAACTATAATCATATTCATGAACTTTTTCTCACGTTTAAACATATTTCTTACTTGATCCTGCCCTGCAGTGTTTTCCAGGAGGGAAGGTGGATGTGAGGTTCGACTATGAGCTACTGCCCAGCAGGAAGCCCAAGTTCTTGGCCCAGACTGCAGCTCACGTATCGGGAGCAGCTTTTTACTACCAAAAGGCTGATGTGACGGAGCAGCCCTGGGCTGAAAAAGTAATCACATTCTTGTTTGCTCCCTTGGTACATTTTTGAAAGGCAGTCTTTACCTTTCTTATGTGCTGTGATCCTTTGATCCTTTTGCTTTCAGAAAATGTTTGGAGTGTGTGTGCATCCGCGGTTTGGGGGCTGGTTTGCCATCCGAGCTCTGTTGGTGTTTGGAGATGTCACGGTGGGCTCTGAGCTGGTGCAGCCTGTTCCTCCTGACTGTGTGCCATCCAGAGAGGGCAGGATAAAGCTGCTAGAGGCTTTTAACTTTCACTGGCAGGTAACATCTTTTAGTCATAAAACCTGCATCACACACAAACTGTAGATAGACACCAACAACTGTTTTGTGCTCTGTGATGGAGGTTTTGTTCTCTGAGAAGATTTGTCTGCGCTGTAGGGGTGATGTGGAAAAGGACCCACGTTGTTGTCCTGTTTCCTATTTCATGACGATAAAAATTGACAAATTTGACGAATTTCATATCATTGGTTAGTTTTTAAAGCTGCATTTTAGTTTTCCAATCTTTGGGAAGTTTGAGTATGTCAGATTAATGTATAACTGAATTTTCCCACCATTCTGCCTCATCAGGATTGGAGCTACCGAAACATTATCAGTCCAATCCAGACCTACTCTCAGAAACAGAGGGACTACTTCTCCACCCCTCCTGCCCAGCGTGTGGCTCTGCTCAGGGCTTGGGGCCATCTGCCAAGTGACAATAATCAACCTGAACCCACCTCGGACACACAGAGTCAAGAAATTGGACATGGGTGAATTGTGGAAGCACCGCCTGTCCTTTCTGAATTCAAACCTCTGCTGTATCTAGAACTTAAATGAAGTCTTGGTTGAACACCTTTTTATTCAAACAGCTTCTTATTGAGACCAAAGCTGGGATTTTAATGTAAGCTTGGCTTTTTGGTGAAAGCTGCTTTTTCAGGGTTGGAAATGTGTTTGATTCTTTGTTTTGTTTTTTTCTTAAAAGTTTAACACTACTGAAAATATCAGTAACATATCAGCTTCCTCTACGTCTTGTATTATTAGGTAATAGCTGATTTTATTGAGTGGATGTTTGCTGAGTTGTATTCTGTTCAGGAAAGCAGAGTTTACAGTCTGATGTGCTTTTGCATAGTAATGCACTTTAGTTTTTGTTGTGTCCTATCGGGAAAATAGAGAATGTGTGTGTCCAAGTAGCAACAGGAAGGTTTTGCTTCACATTTTGAATGACTCAAGTTCAAAATTGAGTTAAGCCATGTGTCATCAGCATGTTTAATCTGCATGCAAGTGCCTTGATTAAAAAAAGAACACTATTGTTTTTCTGTATAATGTTTTTTATTTGATTTAACAGTGAAGCAATAAAAGTTGAGACTAAATGGCAACATCGCTTTAGTCTGTTTGTGAGCAGAATGACTCAAAAAATTATAGTTGCTTGAATATTACTTTTTTTTTTGTCCAGAGATGAGACTTAACCCAACAACCTGAGAAATATCTGAAGGATTCTTTAACAATGCTAATTCTTGTGTTATGTCTTTCCCTATGTTCTTTTCATGCTTGCGTGGATTCCCAGTGGATACTAAAGCCTCCTCTCACAGTCCAAAGAGATGCGTGGGGTTAGTGTAATGGGACTCTAAACTGGCCCTAGGTGTGAATGTGCGCGTGAATGGTTGTCTGTTTCTGTCTTAGCCCTGTGACAGACTGGTGATGTCAGCTGGGATCGTCACCAGCCTCGCACGACCCTGAATTCTGAATTGCATAAGCAGGAGACAACGTGTTGATGATATATGACAATATATTCCTTCTGGATCCAAGAAGGATGTAAACCTGTATATATGCCATCCATGCATGCAGTCTTTGTGCAGGGCTTTGAGAAAAATATTGATCACATCTGTAATTTTTTCCAGAACAGTGTACTTGTTACAGGAGTGTGTTTCTTTAAGTTTATAGTTCAAACTGAATGAACCTACTTGCAGAAAATCAACGCTGAATATCACAGCACAAAGTCAGAAATTATTATTTTGTTAAAACAAACAAACAAACAAACAAAAAAGTCCATCCAGTCATCTGTCTCCAGTATTCATTCCCTCCATTGTTTTGTCCTTGTCTCTAGTTTACCTGACACTCAGCTAATGCATTATAGATGTGAGCAGCCTCTGCCCACCTGCCTGGTGACAGACTGACTACCTTTAACTGTGACTAACCTCGGTGACGTTGAGTCAGCACCCAGCGTGCTACTGTGATCCCGAGAATGCTCAGTTTGTCAGGTTTATCTGCTCCTGTCTGTTTATCTTTAAGAGGAATGAGTACAACAGGATCTAATGTGCACTGAGGGGTTAACTGCATCAGTACGGGTTCAGTCCAGGTCACGTTTACACTTGCGCCTCTAGGTGTCGCTGTTGTCGTGAGGCTGAGGGTTTGCGCTGCTGTTTCTGAAGCATCTGCAAATGTTCAGCACTTCATAAAGTCAAGTACTGACTGCAGATAACCTGCCTCAGCTTATGAAGTATACATTTGCACACAGCTCAGTGAATCTCAGACAACTCTTTCACTCTTAGTTAAACGGCTGTACTCTCTGCTATGTTTTACTTTCAATTTTGGTGACTTTTTTTTTACTCCACTGAGCCATCTATTGCTTAATTTCCTCTTTAATGCTCAATCCAACACCCCATCCCTGACTCCTTTACTCTCCTTTGCTCTTATTGCCTCCCTCTCCTCACCCCTTTCTCCCGCCCGTGCTATTCTGTCTATCTGTGTACTGAATCAGCATTTCAGAGCAGTATGCCGCAGGCCTGCAGAGAGCCAGACCATGGAGTTAATTATACTCCCACAGATACTCCAGCTCTCCTCTTTCCCCCACCACTGTTACTCCGTCCCATCCCACCTCACTCTCCCCTTTTCTTGCCTTCTCTGTGTCATCTTTTTAGGAGGGGTCTTCATTTCTCAGCCCAACATACTGTGAGCTTCTAACATTTCATTTTCTGAATTCTGAATTTGATCAAGAAGACAAGTTACTGTTAAAGTCAGTGAAGCAAAGATATGTAACTTATCTTTGGCTGTACTGAAGTAAGGCAAATTCTGCATGCTACATTTGCAGATGCAGATGTTTAGCACGGGTGATATATTTGGCACAAATTTACACACCAAGAACTGAAGCAAGCACAGAAATCATTAGCAGAATGATGCTTTTCTAGCTTTTTTCCCTCTTCTTTCCTTCCATCTTTGGTTAGTTCTGAACCCCGATAGTCATTCTGATTCTGATGAGGTGCAGGGGTAATTGTCTTTGTCAAAAAAAAATGGGAGAAGCCAACTCTCGGGTTTCTGAGTCCTTAGAGGTGAGTAGTATGCCTCACCTCTCTGCAGCTGGCAAAACACTAATATCTGGAGCAGAGCATGTCTGAAATGAAGCAAAAAGACAAGCGAGCGGGATGTAGGGAGATACTCCTGATGATCAAGCTCTCCCTTCGCGTCTGTTCAGTATCCTGCAGGAAAGCACATTGCAGATTGTGTTGGCAGGCAGAACTGCAGGCAGAACTGCAGGCAGAACTGCACCAGCAGGTTCTCATGCTTCCAGTGTTTTTGCAGAACTACACAGGCAGTTTTTGGACTTTCACTGAGTTTAACAGATTTGATTGTTGGAAACAGTAAAATGTTTTTGTTTTTTTTTAAAAATACCCTTTTTATGATTCACAACAACACGCACAAAAGCCATCAACAAGAACATGAAGCACCCAGATTCTCAGATCTGTCATAGTTTTCTAAATAGTTCAAAAATAAAATAAGTTCTGAATATATCTGCAAAGAGGAATGATGCTAAAAGTATACTGGATGCTGCTCCTCTAAAATCCAAAGATGGAAAAACAACTCTGGGCTGTAATTTAATGTGTTTGCTGCACAAATTATCCAAATCTCAGATAGTTTTGGGCAGAGATGAAAAAGAGGAGGAAAAAATGAGTGGTGTTTCATGAGTTGTGGATCAGTGAAGCAGTGTTATCCGCCCACAGACATAAGCTAACAAGAGGAGAGGGGAAAGGCCAGCAGAGTACCAGCAACAGAGGAGGAACTGAAAGCTGAGTGGGGGGAGGAAAGGACCTGCATCTAGAGAATTTAGTGGAATTTTGAATTGAATGTTTATTATGCTTTTCTGAAACTGAGATAGAAAAGGGAGAATTTAACACTGAACGTTTAAATAACCGAGGTTGAAGTTTATGAGAAAAGGGGAGGATCCTAATTATAACTCTTCTCCATATTTGCTTATTCTGACGAAATAGTCTCACTTTATTCCTCAAAGGGTCTGCCTCTCTTTAAACCACACTGCCTCGGTGTGTATCTGTGTGTTTTAGGAGGTTTTAAATTTTTAAAACCGCCTCCTTATCATTTTCTTGGCTTAGCATAATTAACTAGTCTTTTGCATCAGAATTCTCCCTGCAGCCAATCGGTTATTTAGCTGTGCCTGTGCAGTCCAATGGTTATGGACAGGGAGTGGTCAGCAGGAGAAGAAGGGAATACTGAGAGAGAAAGCGAGTGGAGGTGGGTAAGTGGAGAACTGCCCAATTGTCTTATCAGACACCACCTGCAATAGACTAGAAATCCACCCTCTTTACACAACAACAACAACAAAAAAGCACAAGTACTATTTAAAACATCAATAAATCAGGTGCATTGCATCATTAGCAAACCTGCTCAGTTCCCCCAGCTGTAAAAGTGCAGTGAACATGTCAATGTGTACATTTAGTTTGTCAGAAAGGGAGAATTTGGCTGATCTGTCTGTGTGCAAACTCTTCATTTGTGCTAAATGCCATCAGGTTGCTTGCACATGTACTTAAGTATTGCCATCATTTATTTTTTATGTAAATTCAAGTATATGCAAACTTACAAAAAACAACAACAACAACTAAGATTTATTGAATGTGAGGCTAAAGATATTACAACGGCAATATTTCTGTTTCTTTTGGACAACAACATAACAACGTTCACCTGACACCGCATCATCTCCACAATAACCGAGCCATCACGCAACAGGGTGGCAGGCAGACAGCAGAGGATTAGCTCGAGCTAAGACTCCCCTTACATAATCCACATTTTTAGATTAACTTCATTTCCTTGAGACAGTGATATATTTCAGCCTTTGAACCATAAAAGAGGAATGCGGCCTCACAAAAAAAGAAGAAGCAGAAAACAAAACGGAGGGCGGTTGTCATTTACAACATAAAATACTCTCCTGTGTCTACTGAGATGGAACGTTTATGCTGTTGTGGAGTACACACAGCAGTGCTTCAGTTCTGGGAGTAAAAGAGGCCTTTATAAATCTTGGATGAACCCGCTTTGGTTACTAGCAACAGTTATAGAAAATAAAAACTGGAGATAAAATTTAGTGGCACAGGAGCAGAGATAAAATAGAAAGACTCAGTAATGTCTGTTATGCTTCAGCCCAAAAACAGCTATCGTGAGCCATCAGCATGAACTGCTGCTCATACCAGATCGAGTCTGCAGCAAAAACCCTAAATGTGTTTTTAAGTGAGAGAAAGAAATGAAAGCATCTTATTGGTTATGGATTCGACATTTACAGAATGAGGAGCGAGCTATTATTTATTCTCCTTGTCTTATAGTTCTGCTTTAAGGTCAGAGTCGGGGCTTTTTTAAACTCTTCATATCAAGCCAGCGAAGATGAAGTCAAAGCCATTATTTCCTATTTCCCTTATATGGAGATGACCTGCTGAAACTCAAACCGATCATCAGAATGGGGAAGAAATGTAATTAAGGTGACTTTGACGGTGACATGGTTGGTGGAAAATGGCACCAAACCAGGAGAAAGGTGTATGAAAATCCAAATAATGCTTTCATATCCATGAACAAGAGCAGTGATTGATTCCTCTTTTGTGGTGAGGAAAGTTATACTGCACCCATTTTTACCCCTCAATCGTAAATATCTGATGCTGTTGTCATACCACTGGGCGGGTGGGAGAGCAGGGTGGACACCCAAATTTGTGAATGCAGTAATTCGGGAACAAGACAATGTAGGATTTTGAAATTCATACTATAGGTGCAATCTCAGATGAGTTCAAATCCTGGTGACCTCAACCTCAAGGTCAAGAATAGAATAGAATAGAATAGAATAATCCTTTAATTGTCCCACAAGGGGAAATTTGGTTG